TAAGGAAAAGGTGACCAAACTCTATCTGTTAGATAAGACCGCCAAAAGGAATAAAAAATGATCAACTGGCTCATTACAATGTTTACGGAATGGCTCATGCTAATATGTTATTTCCATTTATCTTCACGTTCAAATAAGCCAAAAATCACCCATTATGGAAATTCTTGCTAGATGCCAATTTTGTCTTTTAACACACGGGTGGTCCAGCCAAAAATGATGTTTGGCTTGTGGCGACGTAGAAAAAAGAATTTGAGAACACCTAAACGATTTTTTAAGCACGTGTCTTAAACCCTTTTCATGGGCAAAAAATTAAAAGAACGATTTTTTTCGACGGGAAGTCGAGAGGAGCGCTCATAGCATTCATTTGAGATCATGATCGTGAGAAAAGAGGAAGTGATCACGTAGAGCTTTTGATTGTTAAACAAATTCTCCTTGTCAGCTCCTTAGGAAATTTGTAGAGAACAGTAGGGAGAATATGCATACTAATGTTAGGGTGTAAACGGGGATACCCGTTTGCCATAAAAGGGCCAAAACAATTTAGCAGTTAGGCGTAAACTTTGTCGTAAAAATAGTCAGCCTTAAAATTCTTTCTTTAATCGAAACGGGTAGATAATTACCTGGAAGTTGTCAAATGGCCAAATTTTAATCGTTACCCGTAAAAGTACCCCTCGGGCCATCACCCCATCGGAAAACATTATAAAAACAATGGGTTGAAAATAGCCTGAGGACTGAAGTGGCCTTCATTGGTAAAAATGCATTACCTCATGGATATGTAATTCGATGAATGATTCATATGATATGCGAATATAACTTTATCAGATTTATCATTGCACTAGCATAAACAGCATTTGGTTCTCTTTTCGCAGAGAAGTTGAGAAGAAGACACTGCTATCAGCGAGAAGACAGAACTCACGACGAAGCTTGTTGCTGTTCTTTGCCTTGTTTTGTGTTTTGTGTTTTGTTTGTGTCATTGCAGGTATGTGATGCTGCGTGGCATGTCAAGACCATTGATCTTGGCAACGAGGATCGTATGATCAATGAGATCAAATGCCTTTCGATAGTCAAATAGCATGACCCTGACGGCTGCCCCTGTCCCATCTGTAGCCTGTGACCAGAGGTGAAACATCGAGATCAGGGCGAATGAGGTGGAGGATTCGGGGATGCCGCCATACTGATCATAGTCGATCTTCTTGAGAACTGCGGGACCAACATGAGTGGCTACAACGAAGTCTTCCGCGAGTTTCGAGATGGTGGGGGTCAGGGAAATGGGCCGCAGATGTTTACTTGGGTCTTCAACAGGCTTCTGTTTGGGTAGCGGTACAACGTCAGCTAGCTTCCACGGCGAGGGCAGCTTTTGCTCTTTATAGCTGGAGTTGAGTATAGCCGTAACGGGTTCAACAAGAACCTCTGCATACTCTCGCAGGAGCCAATTAGGAACACAGTCAGGTCCGGCTGCTTTACGCGGGTTTAATTGCTTCAAAGCAGCCAAGACCGCAGACTCGGATACAGACAACACATAGGGTTCATCCTCGTGGGCTGCGATTGACATTAATGGCTGAAAGTTTTCCATTGGAGCAAGAAAGGCTGAGTTAATTTTGTTGGCTATTTCAAGTTCGCTCAAATCGCCATCCAAATGTAAGCTGGAAAGAAAAGTCTCAGATCTGGAGCAGGGGACCATTCCTGCGACCCGTTTGACAGCGTTCCACCACTGAGAGGGTTTGGTGGACTTGAGATGGTCAACTTTGCTAGCAAAGTACTTGCCGCGAAGAGATTTCCGCTTGCGGTTGACGGTGTTGCGGTAGCGGCTAAAGGCGTCCTTATCTCCCTTGTTGAACGCTTGCTGGCGCAGCTTGATAAGGTTT